GAGGTGAAAAGATCACTTGAGCCTGAGAGGTTAAGCTGCAGTGAGCCATGTTTGTGCCACTGCACTCCAGCCTGTGTGACAGAGTGAGACCCGTCTCAAAAGAGCATCAAAAATAAAGCATACAACTATGATACCGGCACCCAAACAAGATGCATCCATCAGCCCCAAAAGTTCCCTGGGACCTTTTTGCAGTCATTTTTCTGTTCACTCCCACACCTGCCTGGGCAACCACCAATCGGATTTCTTTAACTATAGAACACTTCCTTTTGTCTCTTCTAGAACTTCATATAAATGAAATTGTATCATATATAGCTTTCTGTAACTACAGATTACTTCCATATCTTCTAGAATTTCATAGAAATGAAATGGCACCACATACAGCCTCTTATGTCTGGCTTCTTTCACCCAACATAATGATTTTGAGATTCTTCCATATCACATGTGTATCCACAACTTGTTCCTTTTCAGTGCTGTGTTATAGTCCATTGTATGGACATACAATAATTTGCTTAACCGTTCACTCGGGTTGTTTCTGTTTTGGTCTTTTATGAATAAAGTTGCTATGAACATTCTTGTACAAGTCTTCCTGTGGACATGTTTATTTCTTATTTATTATTTTTCTTGAGACAGGGTCTTGCTCTGTCACCGAGGCTGGAGTATAGTGATCATGGCTTGCTCTATCCTTGTCCCAGGCTCAAGTGATCCTCCCACCTCAGCTTCCTAAGTAGCTGGGATTACAAGTGTGTACCATCATGCTTAGTTAATTTTAATATTTTTGTAGAGATGGGGTATCATTATATTGCCCAGACTGGTCTCAAGCAGTCCTTTTGCCTCAGCTTCCCGAAGGGCTGGGATTACAGGCATGAGCCACCATGCCTGTCTTTCTTTTTTTTTTGAGATGGAGTCTTGCTCTGTTGCCTGGTTGGAGTGCAGTGGCATGATCTTGGCTCACTGCAACCTCTGCCTCCCAAGTTCAAGCAATTCTCCTGCCTCAGCCTCCCAGGTAGCTGGGACTATAGGCACGTACCACTATACCTAGCTTTTTTTTTTTTTTTTTGAGACGGAGTCCCACTCTGTCACCCAGGCTGGAATGCAATGGCGCGATCTCGGCTCACTGCAACCTCCGCCTCCCGGGTTCAAGCGATTCTCCAGTCTCAGCCTCCTGAGTAGCTGGGATTACAGACACGCACTACCATGCCTGGCTAATTTTTGTGTTTTTAGTAGAGATGGGGTTTCACCATGTTGGCCAGGCTGGTCTCGAACTCCTGACCTTGTGATCGGCCTGCCTCAGCCTCCCAAAGTTCCGCGATTACAGGCGTGAGCCACTGCGTCCAGTCAGTTTACATTTTTCATCATATATGCAGAGACAATCAGGTGTGTCTGTGGAACATCTACAACATGTTGTTCCACTCACTGCCCAAAGCAGGGAGAGGAGATTCTGCAGGTTCATTTTGTCTTCCTGAGGAGTCTTTCTGAGGTTTATATAGGGGAAGGGCTCCAGGAGACCCTGACAGCACCTACTTCTCTAACTGAAGTCTCACGGCCAGTAAGGAAGCATGAAAAGGTGCCAGCATGGGCTTGAGAAGGGTTTTGACATCATCCACCAATATGTCCCATCTCCCCTTCAACTCTTCTCTGACCCGGCTGAGATTCTGCAGATGCCACCTCACCTGGCTCTAAGAGGATTGGGGCAGGTGGTGAGTTAGATTAGGTCAAGGCCGGGGAAACCTGCTAGGGAGAAACGCAGGGACTGAGAGGGAGTGAGAGAGACTAGGGAAGGAGAGGGAAGGGGGGAACATGGGTCTGCACAGGGCAGAGAAAGGTAGGAAATGAGTCAGAGGAGGGAAGAGATATGGGAGGAAGGTGTGTCTAAATGGCAAAATAATAAGATCACCCATTTACTCTGAGCTTCCTGAAAGCTAGGCTCTGTGCTGGGCATATAAATGGCACAGTTCCATGTTGCTACACCCCACATGTATGGAGAAGATGTAGTTGTTACCCAAAGTCTCATGGACATCCAGCTGTCCACAGGTCCTCCTCCAAAAAGTCCAAGAAGCAGATGAGCTTGGTATCACTCGATAGAGTGGAGGGTTTAAGGGCTCCACTCTTTGGCTGGGTGGACTGATCCATGCTCCGACTGAATCTTTTCAGTCTTCTCAGAAAGGCACTTAAACACCCTGAGGTTTGGTGTAACCCATAGGCAAAGGGATTATAGGCTGCCAGCCTCAAAGGACCTTTTGTAAGGATATTAGAGCGCACAGGACAGCTGCTGTCACATGGGAAGTGACACAGGCTGGGGAGACCCTGTCTGTTCTGATTTTGAGGGCAGGAGACTCCCATGCCTCAGTCTTCCCTTTTCTTTGCACCTCACTCTCCCTCTCTCCCTCTCTCCCTGCCCCTCAGTCTCTCCCTTTTTCCACCGCTCTGCCTCCCTTGGGACGGTCTCAGTGTGGTTTTCTGTGTACATCACTCTCAGGGTCTCTCTGAGGAGCAGGAGGATTTTTCATTATATCCCGCCAGTCTGTCCCCACCTCCAACCGCAGCCTGTCACATGTTTCCCCCAAATCCGCGCTAATTCTCCCTATGTTTTGCTGAGGCTGGCCTGACCTAAGAGGATTGAAGCATTTGCTAAATGAGACTTGGACAGGGTCAGAAAACTAGCTGTGGGAAGACACAGGGGCCAGGATGGCCGCAAGGTGATGGCAAAAGAAGCAGGAAAGGAGAGGACAGAGACAAGGGGTGGCATGCTATTGGTGCAAGGACATAGAGACCAAGAACCCAATAGAGACTTTTTGTAGAGCCAGCCACGGTGGCTCACACCTATAATCCCAGCAATTTGGGAGGCCAAGGTAAGGGGATCACTTGAACCCAGGAATTCAAGACCAGCCTGGGCAACATGGTGAGACCTTGTTTCTGCAAAAAGTAAAAGGAGATTAGCCAGGCATCGTGGTGTGTGCCTGTGGTCCCAGCTACTCCGAAGGCTGAGGTGGGAGGATCACTTGAGCCTGGGAGGTTGAGGTTGTAGTGAGCTGTGATTGTGTCACTGCACTGTAGCCTGGGCAACAGAGTAACATCCTGTCAAAAAAAAAAAAAAAAAAAAAAAAAAGGCCAGGTGTGGTGGTTCATACCTGTAATCCCTGCACTTTGGGAGGCTGAGGCTAGCATATCAATGAGGCCAGGAGTTCAAGACCAACGTAGCCAACATGGCTAAACCCCGTCTCAACTAAAAATACAAAAAATTAGCCAGGCATGGTGGTGCATGCCTGTGAACCCAGCTACTCAGGATGCCGAGGCATGAGAATCACTTGAACCTGGGAGGCAGAGGTTGCAGTGAGCTGAGATGATGCCATTGCACTCCAGCCTGGACAACAGAGTGAGATTGTCTCCAAAAAAAAAAAAAAAAGAAAGAAAGAAAAATGCAAAAAAACAAAACAGTTTGTAGATATAGACTCATACATTAATGAACCCTTGATTTATGACAAAATACAAAATAAATTGCAAGTTCTCAATAAATTGGCAATTGGAAATCCATGAGAAAGGAAAAATCCTTACCTCACACCGTACACAATCAATTATACATATATTAAAGACCTAAATATGAAAGGTAAAACTATAAAAATTTAGAGAAAAAAATGGAATACCTTCATCATCATGTGATAATGCAAGATTTCTTTTTCTCCTGTTGGTAACCTCATCTTGGAGAAAGTTTTTTTTTTTTTTGGAGATGGAGTCTCACTCTGGCACCCAGGCTGGAGTGCAGTGGCATGATCTTGGCTCACCGCAACCTTCACCTCCTGGGTTCAAGCGATTCTTCTGCCTCAGCCTCCTGAGTAGCTGGGATTACAGGCATGTGCCATCACACCTGGCTAATTTTTGTACTTTTAGTAGAGGTGGGTTTTCACCATGTTGGCCAGGCTGGTCTCAAACTCCTGGCCTCAAGTGATCCACCTGCCTCAGCCTCCCACAGTGCTAGGATTACAGGTGTGAGCCACTGTGCCTGGCCTGGAGAAAGATATTTTAGACAAGCCATTAAAAAAAAAAAAAGCGTTATTCTTAGAAGGAAAAAGTGAGAAAATAGAGCAATTTTCAAAGCAGTAAGCCGGACACCTCAGACTGGTGCCACCTGTGGGCTTCGTCTCCAATTAGTAACAGAGGTCTTTTAGAAACACCAGCTTTTAGAAGCTTTTCTGTTCAATTTGAAAATACAGATATATTGAGATATTTTGTAAAAGTCATTTTATTTTATTATTTTATATTTTTTGACAAGGTCTCATTCTGTACTGCAGGCTGGAGTACAGTGGTATGATCTCAGCTCACTGCAACATCCACCTCCCAGGTTCAAGTGATTCTCCTGCTTTAGCCTCCCGAGTAGCTGGTACTACAGGTATCCGCCAGCATGCCTGGCTAATTTGTAATTTTTTTTTAGTGAAGATGGGGTTTCACCGTGTTGGTTAGACTGGTCTCAAACTCCTGACTTCAAGTGATCCACCTGCCTTGACCTCCCAAATTATTGGGATTACAAGCATGAGCCACCTTGCCTGGCCTATTTTAATTTTTATTAATAACTTCATTGTGTTTTACAACATTATCAGTCTGCCGCTGATGGAAATGAAAAATTAAGACAAATCTGGTCCATAACAATAGGTAATTTGAAAAACAGTGAAACAGACAACATTGAAATCAAGAAATGCTACTAATGAAACAAAATGCAAATAGGAAAGGTGTTTTCAGAACTTTAATTGCCAAGAGAATATAAGAATACATTCAAATAAATGAAGGAAAAGGGGTAAACAAAGAGACACATTATGAGGATTTCTAAGGTTCAGTTAACATGTGAGAGTTTAACCTCTCAAACATCAGGGAAATGGATATTACAGCCACAACAAAACCACAAGTCATTGGATCAACTAACATTAAAAGGTCTCACAATCCTAAGTGTTGGGGAAGATGCTGACCATCAGAAGCACTGGGAAAAGCCCTTTACAAAGCTCTCAAGTGGCATCCACTAATGCCAAACATCCCAGTGAGCAGCGACTCCAATCCCAGCAGAGAAATGCTCAGGCTCAATTCAAAAGAGGGGCAGGCACATCCACAGGCCACCTGTGATGGCTGCACAGTGAAGACAGCAAATGTCCGCCTGCAGCCAGGTGGGTAAAGGGTGGTGCATTCACTGCAGAAAGTCACCAGCAGTGTGGACCAGCCACTCCAGGCCCACTGGGATCTGAAGAACTTTGCAGGCACAGGCACCCTATAAATCCAGTAATGACCTGGGGCCTGAGTCATTTTCATTCACAGAGCCACCTTCCTCTTGGTACAGAGACCCTGAGTCTTTTTGGCCCATAGAGTCATCCCCTTCTTGGCACTGAGAGGTCATGGTGGAGACTGAGGATCCCTCCAAGGGGTCTAGGGGTGGGAGCAGCTCTGTGAATTGAGGGAATAACTGGGTGTCTGGCAAGAAGTCAGAGGCATCGGGGCTCTCAGGCCATAAGGGGACTGGGGCTGGGGCTAGGAATGATCCTGGACCTGGGATTGGGGCTGGGACTGAGCCTGAGCCTGGGCCTAAAATCGGGGCTGGGCCTGGAAGTGAGCCTGAGCTTGGCATCTGGCCAGGACTTAAGATGGGACCTGGGCCTGCGAGTCTGCCTGGGCCTGGGATCTGGGCTAGGCCAGGAATTTGGCCTATGTTCGGACCTGGGCCTGAGATTGGGCCTGGGATCTGGGCTTGGTCTGGGACCTGAGCTGGGCCTGAAATTGGGCCTGGGATTGGGCCAAGGCGTGGGCCTGGGATCTGGACTGGGCCTGAAATTGGGCCTGGGAGTGGACCAGGCAGTGGGCCTGGAATCTGGGCTGGGCCTGAAATTGGGCCTGGGAGTGGACCAGCGAGTGGGCCTGGGATCTGGGCTGGGAATTTGGCCTATGTTCGGACCTGGGCCTGAGATTGGGCTCTGGATCTGGGCTTGGTCTGGGACCTGAGCTGGGCCTGAAATTGGGCCTGGGATTGGGCCAAGGCGTGGGCCTGATCTGACTGGGCCTGAAATTGGGCCTGGGAGGACCAGGCAGTGGCCTGAATCTGGGCTGGGCCTGAAATTGGGCCTGGGAGGGACTAGCGAGTGGGCCTGGGATCTGGGCTGAGCTGAGTGACCAGGCAGGGCCTAGGAATTTGGCTGGGCCTGGAAATTGGGCCTGGGAGTGGACCAGCGAGTGGGCCTGGGATCTGGGCTGGGCCTGGGATTGGGCCAAGGAGTGGGCCTGGGATCTGGACCGGGCCTGAAATGGGGCCTGAAATTGGGCCTGGGACCTGAGCTGGGCCTCGGATTGGGGCTGGGATCGGGCCAGGGCCTGGACCCAAGACATCTGGGATGCCCTTTTGGGCTCTGCACCCAGGGCCACCCCAGGCCTGGTCGAGGCTGCAGATCGTGGGTGCCGCCGCTGGAAGGGCCGGGAGGCCCGGCTGAGGGGCGGAGGCAGCGGCTGCAGGGACTAGGGGTGCAGCGCGGGCTCCTCGGCCTCTCCGCCCAGGGACGCGCTGCGGCTGCTGCTGGAGCCGTCGCTCCCGAGCTAGTTTGGCGCGGCGATTCTTGAACCACACCTGGGGGCAGAGGGGACAGGGAGGAGGTGTGAAGGAGGGGCTCGAGCGGTCCGGTGAGCTACGTGGCGGCGGGGCCGGCCTCAAGCCTCTCCCTCTGTTCACCCCCACCCCGCGCCCACCATAAGAGGGCCCCCCGCCAGGCCTGGAGAAGGGAGGGGAGAGGGAGGGGAAAAGAGGGGGAGGAGGGTGGGGTGGGAGGGGAGAAGGGTGGGGTGGGAGGGGAGGAGCGGGGCCTGCTGCCCGGGAGCCCGGGGGGCCAGGGAGGGTTCGAGGGGAGGGACTGCGGGTTCTCAGGGGGGCCTGAGGTCTGGGCACCGGGAGACCTCGTGGGGGACAGCTTGGGCCGATCCTGTGGGTGGGTTTGGGTTAGCAGAGAGTTGGAACAGGACTCAGGATGCAGCCCGGGTCTACACTGGCGAGACCCCTTGCTTGGCAGGGCAGGAGGTGGTCGGGCGGGCCAGGCCCCGGGGAGTGACAGAGGTGAAGAGGCTCCTTGGGGTGACTGGGGCGGGCGGGGTGGGGCTGGGAGTCAGACCTGCAGTTGGTGCTCCTTGAGGCCGAGTTCCTCCGCCAGTTTCTGTCGCTTGTGGTAGTTTGGGTACTGGTCGTTCTGAAAGTAACTTTCTAGCACTTCCTGCTGGCTTTGAGTGTAGACCGTGCGCTCCTGCCGCTGTCTCCTTGGAGGGTCCGGGGCCACGGGAGGGCCTGGGGGCGGGAGGGAAACAGGTCAGAGAAGCCCCCAGGGAGCCCCCGGCCCCGCCTAGGGACCCCGTCCCCTGAGCCAGGCAAGGAGCCCAGGCAGTGTGGGCTGGGGCGGTACGGCGGATGGCAGCCTGGTATCCGGACCAGACCTTGCACCTCTCTGGGCCTCAGGGTCCACATCTAGGAAATGGGCATGATAACAGCTTCTGTATTATTAGGGACCCCACAAAAGGGAAGGCAGGCAGCGTAGGCGCTGTTTTAATTTCTTTCCTTCTTTCTTTTTCTTGGAGAGGGGATCTCGCTCTGTCACCCAGGCTGGAGTGCAGTGATGTGATCACGGCTCAAGGCAGCCTCCACCTCCTGGCCTCAAGCAATCCCCCCGCCTCAGTCTCCCGAGTAGCTGGGACCACAGGTGTGCACCACCACCCCTGGGTAACTTCTGTATTTTTGGTAAAGATGGGTCTCACTGTGTTGGCCCAGCTGGTTTCAGAGTCCTGGGCTCAAGTGATCCTCTCAACTTGGCCTCCCAAAGAGCTGGGATCACAGGCGTGAGACGCTCTGCCCAGTTGCATGATTTTTCATTTCCCAAACGCCGCTAAGTTCTCCCCTCTCTGCAGGACGGGAAGCCTCCCGCACAGGCCCAGCCCTGCTCTGGCTGCCCAGATCTGCACTCTGCAGCCTCGGCCCCGAGATCAGCTCAGACCCCTCACACCCCTGCCCCCACTCACCTTGCGGATGACCAGGGTCTTGCATCCTGCGTCCTGCTCTGTTCCCAGACACAAGTGTGTACTGACAGGTGTTTGGCTCTTAAATCACTTCTGTGCTGTGCCCACCCTGGCCCACCCTGCCGGGACCCTCCCTTCCCCACCCTGCCCTGCAGTCCCACCCCCTGGAGGAGCTGAATGATGGATGAATCCTTCATCACTGATCAGGTACTCCTGCCAAGCTGTGCTGGGAGCTGGGGAACCTCAGTGGACAACACAGCCTTGGTTTCACCCTCGTGGGCCCAGGCGAGGTGGCATTCCACGCGGGGTTGGGGGAGTCAGCATTGTGACCTGTGGTTGGGGTCCCCATCTCAGGAGAGGCACCACCAGTCAGCCCCCAGCAGTCATCCTTGTTCCTTCCCAGGGCTGGGGCCCCGCATGACCAATACCAGCGAGTCTACCCACTCCTCCCGGCTCCCGGGCTGCCTGCCTTGTCCAGCCACCATCCCTCCCTCCTGGATGACCCCACAACCTCCTCTTTGGTCCCTTGAGGCCACTCTGGCCCCTACTATCCATTCTAAAAATTGCCCCCCAGCTGCCTATAGGTGTAAGCAGAGTTCAGTACACGTTGGTCCTGCTGATAATGGTTTGGTTTCTGTAGTGAATTTGCCCGTGGGGCGAAGTTCTGATGGGCATTCACATAGACCTCTGCCGGTTTCTCCTGGTCAGTAAATGACCTCAGTGCTGGTTTATTCCAGTTTATACACAGGGTTCATGTGCTGGGTTCACATGAGCCCAGCCTCTCCGAGCTGCGTAGACCTGTATCAGGAGGGGGCACAGGTCTGATGGACGTGCCCGTGGACCGCTGCTGGTCTGTCCTTGTGAGTGAATGAACCTGCTGCTGAAGATACAGGGGACCCATGACTTGGTCTACAGAAATCAGATCCCTCAGAGATGCATCTTCTCTGTCAGACACCTGGCTGTCCCCATTTCCCCATGGCAGGACCCACATGGATTCGGGGGTTAGAGAGATTAACAAGGCTCATGGTGCAGGGAACTAGAAATGACTCATGCAATCAATTTCAAAATTCAATGAAACGTAGACATTGTTACCACAGGCCTGGCTTATTGTTTTCACCTGCTACTTAGAGTTCTGTTGTAGAAAGCAGCATCCCCAGCAATGATTCCTCATCGCACATGTCTGGCTTCATCTACACGACATGCTGGGAACACAGTGGTGACCACGGAGATTTTGCACCGTGGCTATTTATTTGGCCGGTAAAGACATAAACAGATGAACAAGCTCACTGGTACTATTTTGTGAAAACAGACATTTAAATATAAGCAAGTTCATGGCAGCGTGATTCACAATCACCCAAGAGGAGAAAATGCTGAAACATGGATAAACAAAATGCCGCGTGGCCGGGCGTGGTGGCTCATGCCTGTAATCCCAGCATTTTGGGAGGCTGAGGTGGGCGAATCGCTTGAGGTCAGGAGTTTGAGGCCAACTTGGTCAACAAGGTAAAGACAGGTCTCTGCTAAAAATACAAAAATTTAGCCAAGTGTGGTGGCAGGAGCCTGGAATCCCACCTATTTGTTAGGCTGAGGTAGGAGAATCACTTGAACCCGGGAGGCAGAGGTTGCAGGGAGCTGAGATCGTGCCACTGAACTCCAGCCTGGGTGACAGAGGGAGACTCCACCTCAAAAAACAAAACAAAACAACGCCCCCCCCAGAAAAACCCACAAAAAATAGAAACCCAAAATGTCCTATATTCACACAATGGGATAGTACTCAACCACGAAAAGGAATAAAGCTCTGATACATGCTACAATGTGGATGAACCTTGCCAACATGAAGCCAAGTGAAAGAAGCCAGACTCAAAAGCACATATATGATTCTATTTATACAAAGTGTCCAGAATAGGCAAATCCATAGGGACAGAAAGCAGATTAGTGGTTGCTAGGGGTTGGGGAGAAGGGAAAATTGGGACCAACTGGCAATAGCTATGGGGATAGCTCCTGGGCATGGTGAAAAAATGTTCTAAAATTGACGGTAGTGATGGAGGCACAACTCTGCAAATAGACTAAAAACCATTTATTTATTTATTTATTTTTTGAGATGGGGTCTTGCTCTGTCACCCAGGCTGGAGTGCAGTAGTGGCGTGATCTTGGCTCGCTGCAACCTCACCTCTGGGTTCAAGTGATTCTCCTGCCTCAGCTTCCCGAGTAGCTGGGATTACAGGCGCACACCACCACGCCCAGTCAATTTTATGTATTTTTAGTAGAAACAGGGTTTTACCATGTTGGCCAGGCTAGTCTCGAATGCCTGACCTCACGTGATCTGCCCACCTCGGCCTCCCACAGTGCTGGGATTACAGTTGTGAGCCACCACGCCCGGCCAATTTTCTTATTTTATTTATTTCTTTATTGAGACTTGAGTCTCGATCTGTCACTTAGACTAAAGTGCAGTGGCGTGATCTTGGCTCACTGCAATCTCTGCCTCTTGGATTCAAGTGATTCTCCTGCCTTAGCCTTCCGAGTGGCTGGGACTGCAGGCGCCTGCCACCACACCCGGCTAATTTTTTTTTAATTTTTTATTTTTTTTTATTTTTAGTAGAGATGGAGTTTCACCATGTGAACTTCTGACCTCAGGTGATCCGTGCACCTTGACCTCCCAAAGTGCTGGGATTACAGGTGTGAGCCACCGTGCCTGCCCTCAATTATTTATTGTAAGACTTATCCTGAGAAAATTCTTGCTCCCCTGTGAATAAGCGCAGATATCAGTGTTCAGTGTAGCATTTCTTTGAAATATCAACTGAGTTAGTTGGATTAACTCACGCCCACAAATTAGAAGATGATTAATTTGTGGCAGCCTCAGACTATGGAGTGCTAATAAGTTGAAAAAAGGGATGAAGGTGTAACCAATTAGTAACAAATGATGATTTTTCATGTATTTTTTGTTTTGTTTGCCTGTTGGATATCTGCTTGCTGTTTACTGAAATAAATGTGTCTTGAATGCAGACACTTTGTTGGGCTTTTTTTTTTATTCCTCCCGAATTCCCATGTCTATAATAGGAAAAGCTCAAAGTTACTGACTAATAATGAACTAAAGGATTGAGTTTGTGTTTTCCATGTCGAGTGCTGTCTCAGGCACATTGTTTATTTTGAAGAATGTATACATTTAATAAGCACATACAAAAATATATACACATTATACATATATATATTTTTTCTTTTCTTTCCTTTTTTTTTTTTTTGGAGACAGGATCTCGCTCTGTCACCCAGGCTGGATTGCACTGGCACGATCTCGGCTCACTGCAACCTCTGCCTCCTTGGCTCAAGCCCTTCTCCCACCTCAACCTCCCAAGTAGCTGGGAGGACAGGCGCATGCGCCACCACGCCTGGCTAATTTTTGTATTTTTTGTAGAGACGGGGTTTTGCCATGTTGCCCAGGCTGATCTCTAACTCCTGACCTCAAGTGATCCATCCACGTTGGCCTCCCAAAGTGCTGAGATTAGAGGCGTGAGCCACCTTGTCTGGCCCATAATATATTTGAATGAACAATAAATAACAATGATAAAAACTCCTGCAAAAGTAATTACCCAGAGATGATAGGGAATGTCTATTTTCTCTATTTCCTGCTGCTTATAATTATGATTTTTTAATGGACAACCTGGAAAACAAGAAGCATTTCTGGCCTTGAATGCCACCCGAGGGCGCGTCGGCACCCTGCCCACGGAAGTCCCCATGCCTTCTCTCGTCCTGATGTGTCTTCAGGGTTGATGGAATTTCTGGAGATTCCTCCTGGGCCTTCCCAGGTAATGACCAAATTCCTAGAGTCACGTGGATGGAAGGAGGTCTTCCGGAGCCTGGGGCAAAAGCAACGCAGGTGGGAATGAAGCAGGTGGAAAAGCATGCAGAAGGGATTATGAAATCCATTCTTGGCCAGGCGCAATGACTCACACCTGTAATCCCAGCACTTTGGGAGACTGAGGCTGGAGGATCATCTGAGGTCAGGAGTTCAAGACCAGTCTGGCCAACATAGTGAAACCCCGTCTCTACTAGAAATACAAAAATGAACTGCACATGGTGGAGGGCGCCTGTAATCCCAGCTACTCGGGAGGCTGAGGCAGGAGGATCGCTTGAACCCGGGAAGCAGAGGTTGCAGTGAGCTGAGATTGTGCTACTGTACTCCAGCCTGGGTGACAGAATAAGACTCCATCTCAAATCAATCAATCAATCAATCAATCAATCAATCAATCCATTCGTATTTGATTCCTTCAGAACAGAAACAATGGC